ACTGATAGCAGTACTAATGTTTCACCACATTACAGTTACTTTTACTGTTAAAAAGGCCAAATTACTATAAATTCCTTAGATGCAGTCCTGGAAGTAAGTTAACTTAAAATTTAACATTCATTCTACCTTAATTTTTCATTAATTTGTCATTGTGTCGACACAGATCACCCAAGAAATGGTTAGTCTATACTTATGGTACAGCAAAGCCCCCTCCCCTTCTCTGTCAGATTACTCTCACGTAATCAGTGCAGTCTCGTTGATTATGTCTGGAAAATGAGTTGTAGACATGACGGTAAATTAATTTAATGAAAATAAAATTATACTTTAATGTCAGATTATAATACTGTTAAAAATATAAATACATATAGTTGTTTCGAAAACCTGGGGGCAATTTTGGCCCCCGGAACATGGCTTTTGGGGGCATTCTTGGATAAATTGTGGGCCAAATGGCCCTTGCTAATTTCTGACACTGGTAGCTGTGTTGAGTCTGATCTGAGGTCTGCTTCTCGTACCGCAGTTTGAAGACGTGTTTCTTCTTCTTGTAGTCTGAAGCCACGTCACATGACGCCTCCTTCAGGCTGATGGGTACCTCGCCGTGGTACGGGACTCCCTGAGCCGCCGCCTTGCTGTCCTTATAGAAACCCATCTCCTGGTAATTGATGACACAGTACACATTGTGCCACGACCTGCCAATCAGAGAGCAGCAGGGTCAGGTAATGAACGCAGGAGTGAGACGTCTGCTGCGGCAGAGGATCTTTACCTGTTTGACGCCTTCTTGTTGTGCCCCTCCCACTCGTGTTTGCGGTGCAGCAGCCCCTCCAGCTGCGAGGACGAGCTCAAGTCCTGGTTCTTGGAGGGCAGCGTGGACGACTGGTTGGTCTTATTCTTCCTGCCGGGTGTTGGCGAGGTGCCGGGGCTCGGCTCCTTGGAGCTCCGCTCGGCCACGCCGTTCACTAGATCTCCAGCGTCCACCCCGTCCTGACCAGGACGCACACAAAGACGGGATCAGTGTCAAGCTAATCTAAGTCTCTTAGACAAATCATGGTTTTCTTGTTGTTTGATGGAGGGATATCAGAGAGGTGTCAGGTTCATGGACATGTTCCCGACAGGTGAGCGCAGGTATGCAGCAAACAGACGGCGTTAGCTTCAGTGGAAGTGTTAAAGATTAAAGATGGAAAATAAATGTTTGGGGCAAGAGCTTGTTTGCAATCACATGACTATTATGAGGTGCAAAATTCTGATGGAGGACAGGAAGTGACAAATCCATTTCCTGTGTGTCCTGTTGAATAAAGAGGAAGGTGATGACGTAAAAGTGATTGATGAAGCAGCAGGCAGCAGATATCAGCAGGAAACTCAAACTCATGTTGGATGTGATCCGTATGAAGATTACAACTTGACTGACTGGCCAACTGTGAACAAAATCATCATTACAAATGGCCTCGACCTCCACACCTCAAAACGTTACGAATGTTTCACCGCCATGAAAGTGTAGAAAAGTTTAATGGACTGTAACTGTTTTGAGTGCAGTTTGGTTGACGACTGGCACAACTGATGACTTGTTTGTTGTTGTGTGAGTAAAAGTGGTCGAGTAGAACTGCCGTTATATTTCATCTCTGTACATGGATGGACCGCTGTCAGGCTAACGTTACGAGCTAACTTTAGCAACTGTTTTCTACCTATTAGGTCAACTGTTCCCAGAGGTCTGGTGAAACGCTGTCAGGCTAACGTTACGAGCTAACATTTTGTCCGAAAATATGCACAAATACGGACAAAATGAATGCAGAGTACGGACAGAGGGTCGGTCGATCTCTGTATCGAACGTTGAGCATCAATGAGCGCCCACAAGTCTGTGCAGTCTGATGAGTCACAATGAACAGATCACAGACGGACTCTTACTGATGATCCGGCTGATCAATAATCTGTCGCTGATCAGATGGATTTTGGGCAGTTCGGACAATTTGGTCGTCTGTCTGCAGTTTCAGCTGTTCTGAGACTTCCAACATGAACCGTACGTTCGTACCTCTGCAGTCTGTTTGACAAGGCCACGCTGTGTTTCTCTTTTCTTTGTCAACACTGTTGAAGACGTGGCCATCTTGTTTGAACAGAACCTTATCCACCTTATTTTCAAACACGGAAGTAAATAGTGATCAACTTCCGTTTTTTTGTGCGTGACTTCCGGTCAGCCGCTTTCCTTCATGCTTTCCCTTACCGGAGCTAACGGTGCAAGCTAATTTTTTTTCAATTTTCAGTTGTTTATGTTATTCAATCAGTTAGTTAGTTAGTTAGTTAGTTAGTTAGTCTGTGTATTTTGTATAACGTTAGATAACTGTGCCCACGTTTCCTTTATAACGGAAATTTATTCCCTCTAAACGCGAATAAATCGCACGTCAATCATAAACTATGAACCAAAAAAGCACAATCTATCCCGAGTGAGACAAACTGCTTGATCCCCGTCTCCAGTGTACCAGCAGAGAACCTGCAGAACCGAATCAG